AGGGGTGCAGGGAACAGAAGAACAGTGGGGTTTGGCTCTTCGGGGAGGTGAAGGGCAGGCGGGGAGATCTGGGTGGAGCCTCACCTGGCAGGAGGAGGGCGCAAAGGGGCGCAATGGAAGGTGCCCAGTGCAGGCAGGTGCCAGACTAGGGGGCGTGGGCTTTATGAGTAGGGACTAGGAGGCCACACTGAGCATTAGGGACAGAGAAAGGGTGACTTAGCATGATTATGAGGGAGACGAGTTAAGAAGCCTTTTTTTGGGTAACTTTCAGGTTTAAAGTGTTTCCAAACTTAACAGAAATGTTGCTAAAATAGTATAAAGAACTCCCATTCACCCTTCCAGATTTCCCAATTGATAACACTTTATCACATTGGCTTTATAATTTTCTCTCTATATATACTATTCATTTCTGAGCCCTTTCAGAGTTAATTGCAAATGTAGCTCCTTTACCCTTAAATACTTTAGCGTATGTTTCCTAAGAAGAATCAGGACATTCTATTACAGAACCACAGGGAATATGAAGACTAGGAGATTAACACTGATACAGTAGATCTTATGTACAGATTTTATTCAGATTTCACCAGTTACTGTAATAATGTCCTTTATTTAACCCATTTCCAGTTTGCCCCGAGAATACTCGCTGGCAGCTTCAGGGTTTACCCCAACATAACTCATGATTACAGTCTAAACCTCACCCCCCAAAGTTTGCCACGAAATATCTCACTTTTATTATTATTTTCACGTCGCTCTAGTATATCAATAGTCTTTGGAAACAAATGACATCATTCTATTTATAGCATTCTGTTTTTAGTAGTATTTCCATTTATAGTAACTCTCAATCGCTGAAAATGTCAAATCCTAGAAAACATAACATTCCTACGTGTGATGTTAACATCATTCTCAAACAGCTGTTACTGAAGATTCATTTGATGAATCCAATTTATGTATACATTTCTGTTACATTAGGATTATAGACAAGTTCTGTTTAGAAATGACTCCAAGAACAGTTTTTATGTTGTGTTTTCACATTGAAAACCAGTCAGATATGCTTCAGCCTCAAAGAGCGTGTTTATGTAAAATCAACGCTGGCAGAGAGCTGCACTTTTTGATTCTAAACTGGGAAACGGTTTGGTGTCTGAGATCTAGAAGAGGAAGTGGCAGTGGAATAGAAAAGAGAGGTTAGATACAGGTGTCAGAATACAGGTGAAGAACCAGACTACAAAATGGTGTAACTGAGGGAATAGTATTGATTAGGGAAGAATTCTTAGAATTTTCCCTAAAACAACCATCCCGGTAAAGCCTTCACTGATCTAACGGTGTGTAAGTTCCCCCAAATCCTTGCCTTAAAACCAGTTGCACCTGGCCCAATGCTCCCCTTGGTCTGACCTGCCCATATAACTGCTACTCGTGTCTGTCTTGCCCTGGTTTCTAGGTTTTCCTCTCTGATTACCTTTTTGAAATTCTAGCAAGAGCCACTAATATACGAGTACAATGGGATGCTTGCAAGGAAACGTTGCTAGTGCCAAGAGAAAGCCCAAAACATAATGTTTGGATTGGCTTAAAATGGCAGGACTAGAGAGAATCGCTTGACATTCAGAGATTAGATTCGGGCATCCCTTACAGGCTGCGTTCATCAAGCATCTGGAAAGGGCAGAGCTGTGAGGGGCAACAAGGCTGCTGGAAGGACACCCTACCCCCAACCACATACTCATTCCCAGTCCTAAAAAAGTTGTGGAGAAACACAATGAAGGGATATCTTTTTTATGTGTGTGATATAATAAAATAGTTGATGGCTTGCTTTGTCAATTTATTTTGTCCTTTTTATTTAAATAGGTTAAACAATGCACCAGTTGAGGGGTATTCAGAGCATGTTGGAAATAAAACTACTATAAGGATGACTTATCCAGAGGGTGCCCCACTGTCTGATCTCGAATATTATTCCAATGACTTGTTTGTTGCTGTTTTATTTAAGAGGGTTGATTTCGACTGGCTTCAAGCAGTGGTAAAAAATGAAACGCTGGTAAGCACTATAAATTCAGCTATCAAATGTGTCTTTGTAAAAAGTGAAGGGGTCTCTAATTACAATTACAGACTTTTAAACAAACAATGGAATACATACTTTTGAGTTGTCTTTTAAATAACCACTCCCTTTGTAGAAAGCCCTCAGAACTCCTTGCTGCAAAGTGCTTTCAGAACCTGATCGAGTCACATGTGGAAATTGTCATCATTTCTTAATGGGAATATCAAGTTTTTGACCAAAATTGCTTTAATAAGGGTGATGACCCAACTTATTCACCAGATGTGAACTTGTGTGGCTTTTGGCTGTTTGTAGAAATTAGATTTACATGGATTAATATAAACCATTATTGAGGATATTCAAAAGAATATACATAAAATCTTTGAAGAACATTCTCAAAGAGATTCTCCAAAAATGCTTTGGTTGGCAGTGCCCTTATAGGAGTAAATTCTCAGCATCCCAGAGGGCCAGATGCAGAAGAGACGGCCCTCACCTCGTTGCATTTCTTTTGTTTGTCTTTATAATGGTCGATCGCATTATAGTCCCACCCATTATGTTTTAGAAACCAAATGTCATGGCGTGTGTGTGCATTTATATACACTTGCACACACTAACTATATAACACCTTCATAAATCAGGTCTTTTAGAGTTGCTTTTTTGAGTTGAGGTACTGAATTTGCAAAGGTCTGTGACTTTGCTAAAGACTGCATGCCCGCAAGGGGTGACGGCCACAGCATGGCCTGATTATCAGGGGATGCATTTTCACCCTCCACTGATTGGATGACTTTATTATAAATACCTCTAATGATTGCTTGCTTTCTTTCCTTAGCCATTTTGGATACGACTCTTCTTTTGGAAGCAGGTGGCTGAAAAAATCCCATTACAGCCGAAACATTTCAGGATTTTGAATCCAGTTATTATCAAAGAGACCGCCTTCGACATCCTTCACTATTCAGAGCCTCAGTCAAGGTTCTGGGGCCAAGATAAGGTATTTTTCTTGCTACTGAAATTTAACTGTTCTCTGTGTTTGAGGGGTGACATCTGTATAAATTTCACTTAGGCTCAGCTGTACACCCAGAAGCACCTTCTGGTGCTTCAGGTGTGTTGGCCAGTCTTCCTCTTGGCTTCCGGCTTCCTCATGGTTTAATTGACCTACCCCTGGGGATTCCTTTTTAGCATAGTCAGCATAATAACACTTAGGTCACTGGGATATTATTTAAGATACTCTTATTCCAGTACTCCATGTAACTAACTGCAGGACACTGAAAGGCACTGTGGTGGTCTGGAAAGTTCTGTTTACATTTTATAACTCTGCGGGCAGTTCATGTGAGAATTGACATTTATCAGCACTTTATAGGTGATGGTAAATTCAGCCCCGAGGGCAGTGCTTTTCTGTTGATGTCTAGGTCCCACCCAGACATTCTGATTTAATTGGTCTGTGCTGTGGTCTATACATTGGGATTGTCAGAGTTCTCCAGGTGATTTTATTTTGTAGCCTAATTTGAGAATCTTTGAACTATAGCTGTTCACTGCAGTCAGTCCTTTACCTACAGTTAGCCTGTGCAGCTACTAGGGGATTGAAGAGTTTTTTTATTACCTATTTCTTCATGATCTGAATAACTAGACCTATGTCTTTAAACTTTTTACTAAAGCAATGGAAATCATTTTTAAATTTTGAGCAAAACCTCTATATGTAAAGGAAAACAAGGGATTTTGAAATGTAGGGGCTGCCGCTCACACCCACAGTCTGAGATACTTCCTAGGAGGCGGGGCCTGGTCAGGGTCACAGTTTGCAAACACTGAGCTAAACAATTAGGAGTAGGCAGATTGCCAGTTTCTTCTACTTGCCCTATGAATCAAATTCTAATTATAAAGATTCTTGAAAACAGCTTTGTAAATTTTAAAGGAAGAATTCTGTGGTTATTAAGGAAAACAAACACCTAATAGGCTCCTTGAAAACAAAACCTAGTTCTTTACCATGATAAATGACAGCTAAATTCAGCTCTGGCTCCAGGCTTGACTACTCAGCTCACCTGAGATGTGTCACAGTGTTGAAGCTCTTCTCCTATCAGGTCACTGTTTTCCTCAGATGCTCTGGCCTGTGGTGTTTTCCTACCTTTCCATCCATGGCGAGCCCACGAAGGCCATGTAGTTCTGCCCATTGGACATGGTCTTAGAACTTTTAATCTAGCTGTTAGCATCACTTTTAACAAAACAGTTTAAAAAATAAAAAAAGACAAACAGATTTGGCAAGATTCTTTAAGTTATGAAGGAGTTTTACTGTAAATATACTTCGGTATTTTTCAATATTTTTAGATTTCTGTACTTTTTAAACTGCCCTATTTCTTCATTACATTCCATAGTATTTTTTAAGGACAGGCAAATGCTCATTTGTCTGTTTATATGTATATTTTATTGAAAAAAGTAATCTTTGAAAAATGGACAGTCTTGATTACATAAAATATGTAATTGCTGAATGACAAAAGGTATTAGAAACAAAAGTTAGAACACAGAATAACTGGAGAGAAATGTAGCATATATATGACAGAGTAAATATTCTCAAAGTACAAAGAGATCTTATCAAAAAGAGAAAGGTGAATAAAAATAAGAGGAAAAGATATGAACGACATTTCACAAAAGAAGAAATTAATACAGCCAATGTTCGACTTCACCAATAATCAAATAAAAGCAAATTAGGACCAAATGACTTTTTTTTTTTTTGCCCATTTTCTTACCAAAAATTTTTAAAAGCTTGATAATGTCCGTGGGTTTTTTTTTTAAGATTTTTATTAAAATATAGCTAACACAATATTGTTTTAGTTTGATATACACCATAGTTATTCAACTTTTATATACCTGAAGAAGTGATCACCATCATAAGTCCAACAACCATCTAATACCATACAACACTGTCACAATATTATTGACTATAGTCACATGACTTATTTATTTTATACCTGCAAGTTCGAACCTCTTATTCACCTTCGCATTTTCCCACCCCCTCGTTTTTGATTTTTTAATTATAGTTGACATTCAGTATTATTTTATATTAGTTTCAGGTGTACAGCATAGTTGTTAGACATATAACTTACGAAGTGATCCCTATGACTAGTCTAGTATCTACCTGGTACTATGCATAGTTATTACCATATTATTGACTGTATTCCTTATGCTTTACTTTACAATCCCATGACTGTTTCATAACTACTAATTTGTACTTCTCAATCCCTTCACCTTTTTCATCCCATCCCCCCAAACTCCCTCCCATCTGGCAGTCATCAGCTTGCTCTTATTATGATTACAAAAAATCTTGGGTGGGTAGGCAATAAGAGAGCAAGAAGTATGAATGAGGCAGAGCTGAGAAGTCTGAGAACTTAACAAAATGAGCTTTGGGGAAAGAAATCAGATAAAGATGTTGAATTTAGTTCTTAGCTTGTAGGTGGAATTATAAGTGGGCACTTTTTCTGGAGGATAGTCTAGCAATAGATCTCACTTTTAAATATGAATAATCTTTGACCCAGTAATTTTGCTGTAAAATTTTTAGCGTAAAGAAATTAGAGAAATCTGAAAAGAGGGATATTCTAAGATGCTCACCATGGCGTTAATAGCAAAGGCCTAAGTACAGCCTAAACAGTCATCATTAGGGGATTATACAAACATAATGTAGTTGATGCAATATTGTGTGACTGTTAAGGATGGAGAAAAACTAATTAATGGATATGAAAACACCTTCACAATATATTAAGCAAGAAAATTGAGTAATAGAACATTTATGCAGTCACATTTTTGTTTAAAAATAAAAATGTGTATATAGAGATGCACAAGAAAAAGCTTAGAAATAAATACCAAACTCTGAAGAGTGCCCTTCTCTGGAGGGTGAATTTATCGAAGACTTTTACTTTCTATTTTCTAATCCATTTCTTTATTATTTGAATTGAACATGTTTTTATTTTTATAATCGACAAGATGATATTTTTCTTTTGGATAAAGACAGTAACTTACAAGACGACTTCTGATAGAAAATTCCAATGTCAGAAACTTCTTCGTGACCTTCCACGGAGAAAGGAGTCTGCTGGATAATCTTAGGAGCTGTGTTCTGGCGATAACATGCTTTGGGGAGTTTTGAACAGTTTCTGAGTTTCTCTCCATACATTGCCACTGTGAACAGCTGGTTTCATACACTCCTTCCACAAGCTCTGACAGAGTATTCCCAATGTGCTGGATGCCATGCCGGCCACAGGTACAGAAGGCAGAATACTGCCTTAGGGGCCTAAGGCTAAACAGGAGAAATGATTCCTCTAGGTTGATTTCTCTCATTTCTATTTCCAAAGATGCAGAATGACTGTTGAGTTCCTTTTTAACAAGTGAGGTTAGCTTTGAGAGGTAGATACAACATACTGAGGAGCTGGAAACTGCTTTTAACGAATGGTGGGTTCGGTAGATGCTAAATCTATGAATTCTGAGCAGTTCACTGTTGTTCCAGTTTACAGAAAAAGAGAGTTGCTTCTGGAAGCCAAAGACTTAGCTAGGATGAACAGAGGAGGTACATTTGTACCTGAAAAAATATACAGCAGAATATCAATTGGTCAGCCGTAGCCTTCAGAGAAGGCTTAGACAGCTGCAGGGCCTTCTCTGTTCCTCTGCCCTGTGTGCTGTCTCTATCTAAGGCTGGGATGGAGATCCTGAAAGCGGGATTCCAGATTTGCAAGTGGCAAAGTATCAGCCATGAGGAGAGGTGGTACTGTCAGAATGCAAAATGGTTGAGACATTCAGCACCCAAAGCCAAAGTCAGCAGGATACCTTTTGGAAGGAACAAATGTGACAGCCCTTAATTTGGGCCTAAAAATGTACTTGCCCAAACAGAGGGTGAGCAGAAACTGACTTAGCAGCTGTTCATGTGAAAATGGCCTGGTAGTGTTACTTGCCAGAAAAGCAAATGAAGACCATAAATGGGACATAGCTTCAGTTAAGGGGTGAGCACAGTCTTCACCAGTGGGGTCGAGGCTGTCCTGTTCTCAGGCAGAGCCCAGCCATAGGTGCCAGTCAGGAAGTGACAGACCCCAGAAACCATGTCCCAAGAAAGACTGTGGAATGTCCTGCGGCCTCTTATCTTGTAGCAGACCTTAGATATTTGTCATGTGATAGAGGAAATGGACTTGTTTTGCAATGTTCGTCGTCATATATAGGACCATTGGGTAGAAGTTGAGAAAAACACCTCTTGGCTTGATGCAGGAGGAACGGCCAAGCTGCCTCTCGGTGGTGTTAAAAGTATTCACATCATAGACCATGTTTTAGAACCCCGACTTGGATGGAAAATCAGACTTTAGACATCTGTGATAGAGGAAATTGTGTGATGTTTAAAATTGCAGTCCCCAATGCAGTCTTTATTACTTGGCATGGCATGGATACTATTTGGGAAGCAGTGAATTGTGCCAAGACTTGTTTTTTCTCTTTTTTCAGAACATCCCCACAATTGGTGTCATTGCCGTTGTCTTAGCCACACACCTGTGTGATGAAGTCAGTTTGGCAGGCTTTGGATATGACCTCAATCAGCCTAAAACGCCTTTGCATTACTTTGACAATCTCTGCATGGCTGCCATGAAGTTACAGACCATGCATAATGTGACAACGGAGACCAGGTTGCTCCTGAAGCTGGTCAAAGAGGGCGTGGTAAAGGACCTCAGCGGAGGCATCCACTGTGAGTTTTGAACACAGAAGACCTCACTTGAAAATGCAACTCTGACTCTGAAGGCTGTTTTTCATGGCCTTCTTGTTACATTTTATCTTGCAACTACTTGGAAGTGCAGCTGGTGTTTTTAACTTTTAATTTAAAAACAAAACAAAACAAAAAACCAGTTCGCTTTTTCCACTCTTCCCCCCCCCCCTATTTATTTGACATTTGTGTTTTTGCACAAAATTTTGTAAATTAATTGGAAAGACTTTTCAAGGCGAATTGTATGTAACGATGTTTCATTGTATTTTAAGAAAGTTAATTTGTAAAAACTCTGCCCATGTCTCAGGCACATAGACTACCAGGTGATTAAGTGAAAGGAGAAGGGAGGTCAGCCTTTGAAGAGATCACTGAATGCCTGATTCTGGTTGCTTCTCTGGTTCTCTCTGTGCTGGGACGGATGTTTGAGGCACTTCCAGGAGGACGTGCTCAGCAGTTGAACCGCTGGGCTGGTTTGGCTGTGCCGCAGCATGAGGCCTGGGCTGGTTGGGGAGTTCAAGTCCCTCTCCGTTGGTCTGCCTCCTGCCACGAGATGTGCAGGAATCAACCAGAGGAACTGTCCTGGAGGTCCCCCGTCCACGAGAGATGCAGAAGACATTTCCTATGTTCTCTCAGCACTGCAAATCTGCCCTGGGCTGCAGAAGCCGCTGTCTCCCCTGTGATTACGACAACTCTTGAATTTCTTGGGAGTTTTGTACTGCCCTTCCAAAGCACTTAAATGTTAATCTAAGGCATTCCACTGTCTGTCTGAAATGGCTTATAAAAATTAAGATGGAACCTCTTATTATGTGGAATGGTGGAAGAATAAATCCTTTCCAAGAATAACCACATTTTCTGAAACACTGAAATGAAATCCTTCCAGTGTTATAAATTACCTATTTAAAAAAAATTTTTTTTGGATGCCTACCAGACTGTGTACCAGGCAGTGTGCTGGTCGGAAAAATAAATTTAAAAAAATAAAAATTTTTGAGGAGCTCTCACAGTATAGTTAACTTGAGTGCCTTTTTTAAAAAAAGAATATAAGTCTATCTGAAATGTCCTTCTTGGAGGCTGCTAGATGGAGCCCTCACTGTGGATGCCGGCAGCGAGGGACAGAGCGTGAAGGCTGCCTTATCTTGCAAGGGGCCTCATCCCAGATGGCTGTGAACTCTTTTGGAGAGATGTTGGGTGTTGGTGGTTTCCTCCCAGAGAACAGCTTGTTCTAGCTTTTGTCACTTCATTGCCCTCGGCTCTGCTGGCTCTGCTGTCAGAGATCCGCGTCCCTGCTCTGTGTCCCCTGCTGCTCCCGCTCAATTCTAGTTTCTTTTAACTGCAGCCCCAGGGCAGCTCTGACTCGCCACACCTGCTGCCTCCTCAGCCTAAGCAAGCAGGTCAGGAGCCAGGTGATAGCATTCAGCAGAGTCCCTTGGATCCCCAGATCTCTGGATCAGCTCAGAGCAGTCTGCATAGCAAAATATTTCTCTGGTTTTGTGTCTTAAAATTTACCATAGGTTTTGCTTTCTACTTTATAAGATACTATTTAAAAGAAAATGCTTTAAAATTCTCCCCAGTTAAATGACTCAGTTTTAAAGATCGAGGCCTGGGAAGATGGTCCACAGCCATCCTGTGACTCAGGTAGGGTCAGGGCTCCACCACACATCTCCAGCCCCTCATCCTTCAGGGGCTACTGAAAGCCTGATTTCTTTTTTCAAGCCAGGGTTTGTAACTTCCTGAAACAACTTTCCCCACTGTTGTGAGCGCCTCCTCGTGGCTTCCTGTGGATTCATGTCCTTGCAAGATTGCTGAGACATGCGCAACTCGGTGCCCAGCACTTAGTCAACTTGCAGCAAATGTCAGGCCTGGTCCATCCTCACCCCTCCTCATCTCTGTCCTTTTCTGCATCCTTATATCGCTTTACCCACAACTCTTAATGTTTAATTACTAGCAGGCAATAAGTGCCCTAAATGAATCAAAAGGTATATTTTTTTCAAAGGCCTTTTCTGGAGTCACTCCCTCAGCCAATCGGCGTTGATCAGAGGCCACCTTCAGGAACCTTGCACTTGGGCAGTGATTTGTTGGAAGCTGCTGCTTTGCTTCAGAGTTGCTCCTTCCTCACCCCACCCCACCCGCTGTCGCTTTTCTGGAAACAGACCTCTAGGTGCTTCAGGATGTCACAAGGTTGATCTCCAGTGACTGAGGTTTCAACTTTCTATAGCTTTGCAGGCACCCATGCACATGGTTATAATCATTGGTTTTGAGGCAACTTAGGACAACTTATACATGTTATGTATTTTAACATAACTTCTTACTGGAACTTTGAGCCACAGAAAATAATCAGTAAACTTTAGGGGTTTAGTTTTTGTTTTTTTTTTCTCCTACAGAGAGCATATTCTCTCCAGAAACCTAGGCTGGCCTTAGAAAAACTGCTTTGGAACTGGGATGGGTACCTCCTCATGACATCTCATGTTTTTAGGCAAAGCTAAATTGGGATCTAGACAAGGTGTTACCTTGCCTGCTTTATCGCTCCTTTTGTGTCCCTTCCCCCCCCCCCATTCCCAAGAGTGTTTTAATAAGGCACTGACCATGTCTATTTCCACAGATTTGTTGGGTGGGGCTGGGGTAGTCTCATCATTTGTTGGACCCATCAGTTAAAATAAGTTGTCAAACCAACTCTTTTGCTTATGTTGAACCTCTGGACCATCAGCAGTTCGTCCGGTTTGTGCTGCTGGGGCTTAGTTGTAAAAGTAAAAGCAAAAGCTGTGGTCACACCCTAGTCTCCCCAGGTTATTAAAGATTTCTAAAACCAAAGACCACTTTGTTTTAGCTACATTCTAACCCCAGCGGTTGGGACTTGATATCAAAGGGATTGTTGAATTTGCCTTATTACTGTCTCAAGAGAAACTTTCAGCCCAGTATCGTAGGAAGATTAAGAAATGCTGACTGAGTCTCCTCCTTGGCAGGTTTACAGCATCCATCTGTGTGGGTTATTTTTTCATCTGTTCTTTGAGACACTTCAGTTAAGTTTATTGAAAAAGAAGAAAAGGAACAATGCTTGTGATTTAGCAGAATTCCCCTTAGAATGAAGTGAGCTTTTAATATGCTTGAATAGCAAGCAGGAACCATGTGACACCAGGGACTTCTTTTATTCACACACATGGTAACAAAATTTCCCTCAAACAAAAGACCTTGTGTTTGTTGCCTGTGTGACCAAGGTCCTTGTTCCCAGGCTCTGACCCCGATGAAGGCGCCCCAGACGACCACACACTCAGCTCTCAGAGCAGGGCAGACAATAAGGGAGGTGGACACAGGACACAGAGCACACTAAAAACAGGTCTCCCTGCTCCCCCTGGAGATTGAGACACTCTGGCCCAATCATATGAGTCTTTATTCTCTCCTTTCCCACTTCCCAAGATCTTTTTGGACAGCATGGGTTTGTGTTCTCAAAACATGATATTTATCTGTATTTACCTACAACCAACACTCAATATAAATCAAGTAAATTGGGAAGGAGAACTATTCATTAAACATGCACACTCAAATTTCATTGACTAGAAATTAATGTTTCCCAAAAAGAAATTGCAGTCTTAGTAGTCTGACTTTCATTATCAGAATGATTAGATTTGACTAATTTCCAACATTAAATTTCAACCATTTAGCAAGAAGAAAAGCATCCATATTAGCAAGCTATGCTGCAACAAGAATAAATAACATGCTATGAAATTTAGTTCTAACTTTTTCAAAAGCAAATTTTTCCAATGAACTGCTTCAATAAAGTGTGTAGGAAGGAAGGCAGGTTTATAAATTTCCTTCTGTCTGGAAGAGAGATGTCAAGTGTTGCACTGGTGTCAGGCTACCTTCCAAGATTTGGCAGATGTAGCCATTATAGCCTTTGCGCAGCTCGAAATGTTAAAATGAATTTTCAGAAAATGTAAACATTAAAGAAACCATTCAGTATATACCTCATAGCAGCAATAACTGCACACTAAAAATATGTAACTTCTAAAAGAGCATTGTATTTCCACTGTATCCTCTGTTATCTGGCTTATGTTTTTTGACTTATTGAAGGAAATCAGTTCCAGGAAAAACTGATATTAAAACGATGAGCTTATTTGAAATGTTGGTGATATCCTCGATTTGAAAGACTACTATGAATTACCAGACAGTAATATGAATAGGATAGATGATTTTTTGTGTGCAGTGAGGGCCAATTGAAGTAGATTAAGAACAATTGTCAAATACAGAAGTAGTTACCCATAACATATCAAGATAGCACTCGTTTGGGGTGGAAAGAAATTGACCATCAGCCCTAGAGCACTGAGAATTCAAGAGTATATCTGTACCTAACTGGCAGAATTTTATACTTTATTCTGTCTATAGTACCTACAACAAGGCCTTGACTATTGTGGGCATCACATAAATATGTTTTTATTTATTTGATACTGTAATTAAATTTAAAGATGGGCAGCTGCTGGTCTAAGATTGGATATAAAATGGAGAGCTCTAGGGTGTAGACATTGGGTGAACAGTGTCTTTTATGCCAAGAGGAACAGAATACAGGTAACTAAAGCAATAAATGAACGCGGTCACTTTTTCTGTATATAATTGTCCTAGTGATTTAAATGACATTTTTAAAATATGCCAAAAGCTGAATAGGCCTGTTTAATGACTGTATATATATCCATACATTTTGGAAAACCAACTTATTGCTGACGTGTCTAAAATAGGTTTGTACCTTATCTTTTCAAAGACCTGCTGTGTTATTGTGATTTATAATTAGAAATACACATTTGGTCTTCCTTCCTTTTTTGTCACAGAGCTCCCAGAACCCTTGGAAGTTCCTACGTAAGAGAGACGTAAAGGTGCCTATTACTATGTGTATGACTTTTGGGAAGCACCTAAGGATGGGGGCTAGTTGCCAACAGTGCCAACCGAGTAATCAGAGGGTTGGAACTTTCGGTCCCATTCCCTGACCTCCAGGGAGGGGAGAGGGGCTGGAGATTGAATCAGTCACCAGTGGCCAATGATTTTCTGCCTATGTAATGAAGCCCCTACAAAACCCCAGAAGGATGAGGTTCAGAGAGCTTCTGGGTTTGTGAGCACATGGAGGTGTGAGGAGAGTGGATAATCTGGAAAGAACAAGGAAGGACCTCGGCCCCATCACCATACCTTGCCCTATGTCTCTTTTCTGTCTGGGTATTCCTGAGTTATATCCTTTTACAATAAATCAGTGATCTAGAAACATGTTTTTCTGAGTTCTATGAGCCACCCTAGCATGTTAATCCAACCTGAGGAGAGGATCTTGGGAACCTCTGATTTAGAGCCAATCAAAAGTACAGGTAACAACCTGGACTTAATGATGGGCATCCTGAATTGGAGGTCATTGGAACCTCCAATTTATAGCGTCTGAAATGGTGGGGATGGCAGTTTTGTAGGACAGAGCCCTCAACCTGTGGAATCTGATACTATCTACAGGTAGATAGTGTCAGAATTGAATCAAATTCTCTGACACCCTGCTAGTGTCTGAGCACTGCTTGTCAGAGGTGTGAGGAACCCCCCCCACACATATTGAAATTGTGCATCAGGTATGGGTTGGGGTTTCATATTGTAAGAGGAACGCTCCTGCATCAAAGGCTTTATGTTTTGTATTCAAGGCAGCCATAGTGAATTTATTACATGGAATTTGGGAACCAAGATAATATACCTTGTTTGTGTCTATATATTTGTCTTTTTTTTTTTTTTTTTTTTGCTATACATAGTTTACTCAATAAAGACTATTTTTAAAAGATAGTAATGCTAAAGATTTGATCATTTTGAATTATGCAGCCCTGTCTTTAAGATAAGGCAGACAAATGACAGGTTTTGTTCTGGATCTGCTTTCTCTTCCAGTGTGATGTTCAGTATGAAAAATAAGTGAGATTCAAAACACACACACACACACACACACACACACACACACTGAACAAGCAAAACTAGATTCTAGTCTAAACCAAGAGTCTTGTCCTAAAATGAAAGGTTGAACGGAATGTCCCAGCAGTGGCTTTTCCCTCCCCATCTTTTGCCTGTGGCTCTTCTGTGTCACTTTTCTCTGCAAACCTGACCTAAATGTAAGAACATGGGTGCCCTGCGAACACAGAGGGCGAGCTGAGGAGAGGTCAGAAGGGACAGGCCCTCCCTCTGTCCTCCTGCTAACCTCCCCTTCTCTCCTAACAATGCCACCACTAGTCACATGGGAAGACTAACAAGGAATGAGGAACCATCTGGGCAACCTCCTGCTTCACAGACAAGCATTTCCTTTCAGGGTTCATGGACATTAGCCTGCACTCCCCATCCAGAAGGGGTGGGCATTCTCAGTTCCAATTACACCGCTCAATTGGCAGGTCAAATATCCTGATTTTGACTTTGCAAAATATAATCCCCATACTCATTGCTTTATATACTTATTCCTAGTAACCTATTTTGTGTTTTTTAAAGTAGTGATCCAGACACACTTGGAGTCACTTTTAGGAGGGGTTCTCTCCACTTCCATCACAGCCTGCAGCTACTTCAAAGTCTCCAGAATTTCCCCCAGACCACGCTTCATAAAGAACTAATCTTATTTGGTGACAGACAGAGGGGAGGAGGTTGGGAGGGTGGGAGAATGGGGTGAAGAGCTAAAGAAGTACAAATTAGTAGTTGATAGTTGGGCACAGGGAGCATGGCAGAGAGAATGCAGTTAGCATTAATATGATGGCTAAGTGGATGGCCAGGGGAGAAAAGGGATCATTTTATGAACATTATAGATGTCTAACCAATGTATTGTATACTTGAAACTAATTTAAATAAATAAATTTATTTAAAAAAAAGAAAAAGAACTAGTCTTGATTTTCTTCCCCTCTCCTTCTCTGTCCATCCCCACCCTGCTCACGTCCTGCGAACGTGAACACTGATTTAGCTTTCCTCCAACTAGAAAGAATCCTTCCTCTTCAGGAGAATGGCAAAATTGGGCTAGCAAGCAAGGAGATTCTGGCCAGGGACAAGGGGCAAGGACCATGACCTTGCTTCTATTTGTCAGATGTCAAAACTTCCTGCAGAAACAAAGGACTCCAATTTTTATTGTCCAATTTTGAATACTCCTGAAAAAAGATGTTAAGTTTTAAAATATTATTTAACATTGAAATATGAAATAGAAGAAAAGCTAAAAATCATTTTTTATTTAGCCCTTTGAAGTCTCTTTGTGAATACATTGATATATGACCTTCTTTGTATAACAAACTTGCATTTAAGTAGCCCTACAGTTGTCCTGCTTATGCACTGGGGGGAATAAAAAGCCTCTATTGACACCCATAGAAGCAACTTGTTTAAGAGAGAGGAGAGGGAAATATTTTAAAGTGCTGGTCCTGTGATCCAACAGCCCAAACAGGTATGGCATGATGGGGTGCTTGGCCATCATCAGCTTTGTGGATCCCTCTATGTTGCTCTCATTGACCCAAAGGTCTGCTTGTCTCAACTCTGGGAGAGGTCTGATTGGGTCAGAAAAAAGGCCCTGCTGAGACCTACTTGCTCAAGATGCACCCCACATTTTCCAAAATTTGGAACTGAAATCAAACCCAATGATGGCTTTATTTTCAAACACACTAAACCACACCAGGTTTTAGAAATGGGAGCAAGACTAACAGTGGGGACCCTTCTGCAGGACACTCAGTGCTGTGGCTCAGGCATTCCATTCTCAACACCGTTTCTTCAAAGGCTGAAAACAGTTGATGTTCTGCCTACAATGTAAACAGACATTCTTGGCTGTATCTTAGTACCCAGCAGGGCTAGCCTAAAGGTATTGCCCTGTGCCACCTGGCTCCAGCTCCTCTCCTGCTTTTCCAGCATGGTCACCCTTTGTCCCGTTAGACTCAGAGAGCCATGGCTGGACCCTGATGGACAGGCTGCAAACAACATGGCCCCTGTCCTACCACCCTGATGTTCAGTATACGGGGGGAAAGAAGTAAACGTAACAACGGTAGGGGTTAGAGCAAAGGGAAAGTGCACCATGGAACATAAGAGGAGCTGTCAGGAAGTCACCCTGAAGCCAAAACAGTGGTTAGAGGGG